TGATGGCAGAACCACCAGTAACTGTTTATCTTGACAGCACGTCATTTAACTCTGTTGTGCACGATCCTTTTCTGCTTCGAAGTGATAAGATGTCAATCTTTCATATCAACATAAGAAGCTTACAAAATAAATGGTTTGAAATAGAAACAGCCTTGGATTCTTTAGATCACAGATTCGATCTATTGGCATTTACTGAAACGTGGTTTTCGAGTGAACACGACGTAGTCAATTTCGCAGGATATAAATCTGAAGGGGTTTACAGAAGAAATCGCAAGGGAGGAGGGACCTCGCTTTATTTTAAAAATAACCTTGAGTATGTAGTCTTGCCCGAATTTACGCAGATGAGTGACCACTATGAGTCGGTTGTTGTAAAGTGCCTTGGGTCACTGATTGCTTCAGTTTATCGGCCCCCATCGGGCGATATAAATGAATTTTTTGAGTTTGTAAATGAAATTCTAGATTACGTGTCATGTCTCAATTTACCAATTGTCTTAGTTGGTGACTTCAACATTGATTTTCTTTCATCTACTCGTTCCTGCCGACGTTTTCTTGATGTCATTGAATCTTTTGGTTGCTCAAACGTCATTCATTCACCAACAAGACTAGCGTCTGAAAGTGAAACTTTGATCGACTTGTGTGTAACTAGCTATGACCCAAAGGATGTTGTCTCGGGTATTCTTACATTCGGTCTAAGTGATCATTTGCCAATATATTGTTTTTTTCCTCTGGTCAAAAAGAAAAAGTGTAACATCCGTGACCCTCCTGTATTGCGACGCAATTTCGGCGTGAATGCTCTTGCTCTTTTCCGGGACATGATAGAAAATACCAGTTTTGATGACGTTTATAATAAAGAAAACCCAAATTCGTGTTACGACATATTTTTGCATAAAATAAAGCACATTTACAATGAAGCGTTTCCTCTTCGACCTGTAATAAATCACAAGAAGTCTAGGAAGCCGTGGGTTACTCGCGAGCTGTATAAAAGGATTAATGAACGTAACAAACTCTACGATAAATTTATTCGACTAAGGGACCAGACAATATTAATTAAATATAAACACATAAGAAATAAATTAAATAAGGACCTCAAGAAAGCACGTGTTGAGTACTATAAAAACAAGTTTGCATCTATTTCGAATGAACCAAAAAAACTTTGGGGTGCAGTAGGAAGTCTAATTGGAAAACACAAGAGTAAGATTCCCGATACATTAACTCTAAATGGTATTGAGTATAACGATGCCTTACTGGCAGACAAATTTAACTCTCATTTTTTTAACGCAGGTGCGTCATTGCAGCCACATGGTCCAAACGAAAGCTTAGACAAATATATTTCATCTGTAGCTGTCGACACTATTTTCTTGGCTCCAAGCAATGAACAAGAAATATATTCAATCCTTAAATCTTTATCTACAAATACCGCAGCTGGAGAGGATGACATCAAGGCTATACCAATTATAGCTGTCGCAGACCTCTTGTGTTTTCCTCTGCAGCATATATGCAATAACGCATTAGCAACGGGCATTTTTCCTGATGGCATGAAAATTGCAAGAGTGGCTGTTCTACACAAAGGAGGCTCCTTTGACAACATTAACAACTATAGGCATATTTCTGTACTTCCTTTGTTTTCAAAGGTTCTAGAATTTCTTATAAAAAAACGGTTTTCAAAGTTTCTTAGTGAAAGAAATGCTTTTGTTACTCAGCAATACGGTTTTACGGAGAATAAGTCAACCGAAATGGCTCTACTTAGCATCAAAGAAAAAATACTTAATAAATTTGAAAACAAACATTTCACTATTGGAATGTTTCTGGATTTCAGAAAGGCCTTTGATTCGATTAAACATGATATTTTGTTCTATAAATTACCGTTTTATGGAATAAGAGGTGTTGCTTTAGATTTAGTTCGTAGCTACTTATCTTGTCGACAACAATATACTAGTCTTAATGGCTACAGGTCCAAGTTAGAACAAATTTCGTACGGTGTCCCACAAGGGTCTATTTTAGGTCCTCTCTTTTTTATTATTTATATTAATGATATCGTACGTATACCTAGAACTCCTGAAATAGTTTTGTATGCCGACGACACTAGCTTATTTTTCTCTGGCCCATGTCTGCGTGATCTTGAAATTTCTGCTAATACATGGGTGAGCGAGTTATCGTTCTGGCTAGACTCCAATCAGCTTCAGTTAAATGTTACAAAAACTAAATATATCATTTTTAAGCCGCGAAGTAAACCGGATGACTGCAAAATTATTTTAAAATTCCAAGACTCTCCGATAGAGCGTGTCACTATCTACAAATTTTTGGGAATTCTCTTCGAAGAAAATTTAAGCTGGACTCCACATGTAAATAAAATTCATGCAAGCATCTCTAGATCTATTGGCATTTTATACAAAATAAGAACACTTGTCCCAGGCTGGTTAAGACGTCAGTTGTATTATTCACTAGTTCATTCCCACCTTCATTACTGTCTACTAGTCTGGGGTTCAACGACTAAGACAAATATTGATAGGCTGTTTGTTTTGCAAAAAAGAGCAGTACGTTGTATTGAAAATCTTCAGCGCACCGACCACACAACGCCGTTTTTTCTAAAACATAGCTTCCTTAATATTAGTCAGTTATTCCAGCTTAAACTTTCAATCCACATTTTTAATGAGTTCAATCGTGACCAGTCCACTTTTTTTGACGCATTCCTTCCTAGAAATATACAATACAATCTTCGGTATGACTCTTATCGAATACCTTGGTCAAGGACGAATTACGGACATACTCAATTAGCGTACTTAATTCCTGATTTCTTAAATAAACATCCGGCCGTAAGAGAAATGATTCATGAATGCGGATCAAAGCATACCTTTAAAAGAAATATAAAACGGTACCTTCTATCATGTCCCATTGAATGAATGTTTTTAAAAAGTGTTTGTATACCCAATGGTTGAGCTTCATTTATTCTAGTGCGTCCTATGTCCCCGAAAATTGTTATGACATGACTACTGTATAAGTTATGTTGTTTTGATCTTTATTTGTGGGCCGTTCTGTTTCCCCGTGGTTTCTGTGTTTATATTACAACGTGTCGTACTATACGCTGAGCAATGTAAACTGGTGATAGGGCCAAGTCAGGCAGAACCCATCTGCCTTTTGCCTTGTCACCCGAGACCTTGTGTCTGAATAAAACCAATTCAATTCAATTCAAATACGGCAAAGAAAAAGACGCAGTGGTGGTGTTTTGTGCCGGGGTGCAACGTAGAGAAACGAAACTTGTCAAAATGAAATTACTCCTCAATAAATACGGTAGTTGAATTTGCTCCGCTTATCTTGCTAGTCTTGATGTTTATTGTCCTATGACGCATGCTCACTAGATAAAATCAATTCAGGCATTTCATGGTTTCTAAGCTATAGCTGAGAATGCAGATGTGAAGAAAACTTCGGTTTTATTAATCTATGCAAAAAATAAAAGATGAATTAATACAAAAAATGTAATTAAAGCTCCGCAAAATGGACAGTTGCCGAAAAAATAATGAAAAGAGCTTTGACACTAAATTAGAAAGGAAAACTTCGCATATTAACTCATACTTAAACTTCGCTTTCTTAGAGCTGGTGTGTTAGGTGAGGCAGACAATTATTTTTCTATAAGAACAAAACTAAAAATAAAAATTAATGACGCTAGACTATGTAAGTAACTTACCACTCCCAAACGGTATTTAAGCGCTTTGAATATTAGCTTCTGCGCTCGCGCCCGTGACGCTTTTTCACAGGAGTTTAATATAGGATGGAACTTATTATTTCTCACAACCGAAGAGTCAAAAACAAACGAATACAACGATTTGTATGCCGAATGAAGCATCTCTGCTGCGACCGCCAGGCCTTGGTCAGCAACCGGCGTGCTTGCCTATCGAGACACTCTCATGGCCGCCGGACGGCACACCTCTCTCTCCTCCCAAGTAGCACAAGAGGTGGACCTTACGTGGGCCCCAGGTGGGCAGCACCTCTTGTGTTACTTGAGCTGGTACACACTAATTCAGAGCAGTGTTCAGAGTCAAACAACTACTGGATGCCAGCACGGGGTAGATGCGGCTTCCGGTCCGAACCCAACCATCCCAAGGCCTAATAGCAAGTGGGCAGGGATGTGGTGTATCGTATTCATTTTACTTATATTTCTTTGTTTACAATTAATAAAACATGATTTCTTAAAATGTCAAACCCCTAAGCGAGGTCCCGAAGCCGAGTGAAGCTTTTAGGGTGACCGCGTAAATCGGCTTGCTAAAGTATCGGTCTAGTATAGAGAGTTTTAGTAGTTTATTTCGGTACCTCCACTACCCCCGATAGCGATATGATGCATGCGCAAAGGCGGCGGCGGAGTGTCAAGTATCACTATCGGAGTCATCGGAATGATCTGGTAAAACTCTCTGTTTACCACAGGAGTGAAGTGACTGGTGCGCGATTGAGGGCACCAGTCATCTAGCTGCTTTTGGGAATTTGTGTTTGTCTTTTTCCCAACTTGTTCCCCGTCCCCAGGGCTTATTATCGTTATTATTGTCTAGTTCGCTGAACCGTTGCATTAATTGTATTAATATAATATTTTTAAAATGCAGGCTGTCTACCCTTGTTGGTGTTAGACTGGTGGCAGCTGTTAAAATCCGTTTGCTCTACTGACGTCGAACTCCTGGTTAGCTCAGTTGGTAGAGGGCTCCACTGGAAATGGAGAGGTCCCTGGTTCGATACCAGGACGGGGTGGGTTTTTATAGTCACGCATCAGTCACCTAGCTGTGTTTGAAGATTTGTGTTTGTCTTTGGTCCCTCTTGCTCCCCTTCTCTGGGGATTATTATCATTAAGAACCTTGAAATTTCACGAGGTAAATACCACCCCCTAAAATACGAATTTGGTGAAAGTTTGAACTTGCTATCTGCCGGTGGCAATTTTTCCCGTTCGTTTGACAGCGCAGGAAACATCGTGGACCCTGTACTTCCCGAGCAAGCTCGCACGTCGAGTTCCCCGTACGCACCCGCGGAGTCGCCAGGCGGCGCGAGCATCCCGTAGCTGGCCCTGCGCGCCGAGTTGACGCCGCCGTAGTCGACGGAGCTCCTGGACGGTCGTCGAGAGGTTGCGTGCGGCACCGAGGCCTTGCCCAGGGAGTTTGCCACGGCTCCGTCTACGGTCGTCAGCACCGCGGGAGACGCGCCGGCGTCGGCCATGCGGTCGCGCCCCGAAGAGCCGAATCGGGCCCTGCAATGGCCACCACAAGATGTAACAGAGCCCGTCGGTCAGACAGTAACACTCTGGGGGAACGGGACAAACAGTATATGCCCACTGACCGACACCACCCAGAATAATGAAAATCCGCGAATTCCCTAGCTCCATAGGGGCTATGTTCGACAAATGTTTTGTTTCTCCTAAAAAGAAACGGATGTGACGGAACTGACGATATTGCGTCTGATTGGCTAGATGCTCAAAATGACAAAAGAGGGAACTTTCGTCATTTGTGCCTCTAACCAGTTAGACGCGATATCGTCAGCTCCGTCACTCCCGTTTCTTTTTAGGAGAAACGAAACATTTGTCGAACATAGCCCCCCAGGTGGCCGCCTCGGAGGTTCCGAGGCAAAGCATCCGCCTACAGATCCCTAGGTGACGGGTTTGATTCCCAGCCGGGGTGCCCGCTACCTGACTGAGGCATATTACGAAGAAGGCGCCCTTAGCCGAGATTTCGGTTGCACGTCGAAATATCACTAGGGGTCGAAACGAATCCTCGAGTTTTTCACTGGGGCGTGCCAAATGCACTACTTTGATTTGGTGAAGTAAAAGCCCGCAAAATTTGATTCACGCACAGCCTCCTCCACTTTGACTGGAGGCAAGGCCCAGCCGAACGTTGAGGCCGCACTCGATTCCAATATGGGTCGGCTCTCAATCCCACCGTGACGACATCCTAATGCTTGTGCACGGGCTTTGATTAGTCCGGGTGGTGCTGCTGGACTGACAGCCGAAGAAACGCAGGGCGAAATCCATTACGTTAGGGCATTTTGCATCGCGATTCCGTCTTCGACGCTTTTATACCTCATTGGTCGCGATAAGGTGACCGGGACTGAACCTGCGTTTCCTCAGATGTTGCTGACTATTTACAAATTTCAAACGCTTGTCTGCCCGGGAAAAAAAAATTCTGAGATATTTGTTTTTGAACGCACGCGCGACGTCTGATGTTTCGAACCAGAAAGCGACTGGGCATGCCCTGACCGCGCTCCGCAGCCCAGCAGAAGACCTAAAATGGCGGCACGCGGAAGTCTATGATTAAAATGCGGCCACCGAAATCTTTTAAAATACGGGGCGAGACCCGAGCGCCATTTTTTCTGTTTGCGGCCAATGAGGTTGCGGCATTAGACGCCGATAAACCAATCGCGAAGCAGAAAGCCTGAACGTAGGTGAACGTAGTAGTGCGCGCCCGGCGTTTCTTGGGGTGCCGGTAACTCGAGGGAGTTTTCGTTGCGGGGCCTCGCTGAACATTTAATCAATTCGCCGCGAACATCTATCGAATTCACGAAAGCGTTAGCGGGGGCAACTCACTTGCTGAAGAGCCTAAGGACGAGGCAGAAGAGCGCCGTGAACAGCATCAGGGCCACGATGACCGTCACCATGGTCGTCAGTTCCGCGTTGTCCAAGATGGCCACTCCACGAGCTGCACGTCCGGACACGGAGAGTTTGAGACACAACCGCGAGCGCCGCCGGTGGGAATGAATTATACTGCCTCATTTTTTTAAATGTGGGTGTGCGTTCGAATCGCTCAATGAGTTATTAAGTTGCTTCCGATGAGGTCTCTTCGGCTGTTTAGATCGCTCAAATTATAACGTTCGCCGCTGTGGGAGTGCCTTTGTCTCACCATCCTATATACAAGATCTAAAATTACAAAATGTTCTGGAATTCAGCTTTTCTGCAGAGCACGGAGACACTTCTAGTCACTGAGAATATAATAAACGCAGGTTGTGACATGTTCCGAGCATCTCAAATTCACTCCAGAATCAATGAGATTGCAGAAGGATAGTGTGATTAGATATATTTATTTATTTATTTATTTATCCTAAATATCCTTCCGGGCATCAGATAGGGGGAAGGGGAGGAGGGAGGTCACTGACACCATTATTATTAATCTATGAAGGTGAGAAAAAACACACACACGCAAAATGCAGTTGGCAGATAACAAGACAAAGAAACAAAAAAATAAAATGCGCACAAAAAACTAGTTTCCACTCAAACGCGACTGCATACGTTGTTATACATTAGTTATAGAAGTGGTCAACATTCGGGCAGTGGGGATCGACACAGTATCGCTGGGTAGACTCTTCCATTCGGAGACGGCGAGAAGAAAGGGAGATTTTTTTAATAGGTTGGTGCGGGCAAAGATGGGACGTACTTTGAAGGAATGGTCGACGCGAGATGAAACATGATTAGGCGGATGGATGTACGCGTGTCTGAAAGGAGATCAGCCGTATGGAGCTTGTGGAAGGGACACATGTGGGCAATGCGTCTTCGATCATGAAGGGGCGAAAGGTTGATAGACAGTTTTATGTTAGTGTCGCTTGAAGTACGAGAATACTTCTTACCGGTGAACCTGGCTGCTTTATCTTGAAGTGCCTCGATATTATTGGTTAAATACATCAAATGAAGGCGCCCACCACTTGATGCATACTCCAACTGCGATCTTGCGAGGAAGGTACACGCAAGAAGCTTGGTTTCATTATTAGCCTGAAATAATGAATGTTTGTTGAATCCTAGAGATTTGGACGCTTTGCTAATGACCTGTTCAATATGAAGGTTCTATGATAGATTAAAAAAAAAGATGTGCGCCAAGATATTTTATTGATGTTACATTTTCGATCTCATCGTCTCCAATTGTGTACGTGTGGCGGGCAACATTTAATTTGGTGGTGAAAGTTACACACAGCCTTAGTTTTAGTAGTATTGATTTGAATCATTCAAGTTCTGCGCAAGTTATTTGCGGTTTCCAGGTCGCGTTGAAGTGTGCACACATCTTGAGAACTAGAAATGGGGCGATAAATGACGCAGTCGTCAGCGAAAAGACATATTGTTGATTTTATGTTGAAAAGAATGTCATTTATATGAAGAAGAAACAATACCGGACCAAGAACTGAACCCTGTGGAACGCCAGAGTTTATTATTATACCAGTTGTGATATATTTGTTATACACAACGGGTTAAAACCGATTGAATAAGAAGCTCGCTATCCAGTTTTTAGCTAATTCGGTCGTATTCTTGACAATTATTTTGTATAACAATCTGTTATGGGCACCGGATCGAAAGCTTTTGCGAGGTCGATATAAACAAAATCAAGGGGAGGTAAGGAATGAACAAACACATGGAGATAAGGAATCAATTCGAATAGTAGCGTCTTCGGGAATAACCGCGTTGGAAGCCATGCTTATACGGAACGGTAAGTTTGTTACTGGAAAGGTGGATCATGGTTTGGGATGAAAGTATATGTTCCGTGAGCTTGCAAGAGACACACGTTAGTAAATAGGGTCTGTAGTTGTTGAAAGAGTTTTTATGTCCGGATTTAAAAATTAGAATGACGTGAGCCAGTTTCCAGTCATCGGGTACTTTGCCAGTGGAGAGGGATTGTTGAAAGAGCCTACCCAGTATAACCCCAGATGTGTGTTTAGTTAATCTTAGGAGTTTGGAGGATATGCTGTTCGGACCGGGGCTGGAGTTAGCCTTCAAACGGTCAAAAGCACACTCGACCCCATGACTGGAAATGCTAATGTCCTGTATAGAACATTCGCCAACCGATGACAGAGCAACTGATAGTAAGAAACTGTCCTCCTAAAAAAAGTCACTGCTAAAAATGGCTTAAACCCAGCAGCTAATTGATGGGGACCCATCATCACAAAGGACCCATCATCACAAAAAATGCTAGGCAACATTGGTGACGGATTAGGCTTAATTACTTTCCAAAACTTTTTTGCATGGCATCTAAACATATTTGAGACCTCTTCATAAAAAACATTGTTTTTTTTTGTTTTTTTTTGCTTTTTGCAAAACACAGAGGGATTTAGATAAACGGTCCAATCACATGGCGTGTGAGAGTGAAGGACACGTCTGTACAGACGCATATTTTGTACACATAATTTACTGTAAACGACTGATTTTTCGCGGGCTCAATATTTCGCGATTTAGGTCAAAGCTGAAGCTTTGAAATAATTCGCGGACTCTAATTTTCGCGACGCGGTGAGATCCCAATGTAGATTTCAATGTGTTTACATTTTACCGGAATCGTTCACGGGACCTATTTGTCGCGAATTGTAGGTGATTCGCGAAATTCTTGAAAACTAGCTCCTCGCGAAAATTAAGTCGTTTACAGTAATTTTGTTTGTAAAGCAAGGTCTGTGTAAGCTAAGGGCGATCCATAAAATAGGCACACAGGCGGTTTGAGCTTCTAGCATTTTATACAAAAAAAAAATAATCCAATTTTCGTTAACACTCCGTTCGTCAAAACCTTAAAGAAATATACTTGAGAACTTGCATGATATGAACTCTGACGTTTCTGAGTCAATGATTTGAGGCAATGAGTCATTAAGTTAGCTATAGTCAATGACTTTAGCTAATCATGGCCACGGACGGACTGGGTACGCGCTCATTGTATTACGGTCTGTCCCGTGAGGCATGACATCACCTATGGTTGCATTTGTGCACTGCCGCGTATGTACGTATGCATATTTGGGAAGCAATCTCTTTGTACTTCGTATGTATGAATGTAATGTAAGTAAATGTAAAAAAAAAGAAAGAATGATGGATAGTACATGTGTCGTGCGTTGACCATTTGTCACTTTCTCACAAAGTCAATCAGTTTACGTAATACCGTGGGCATCAGGCGACCGTTTGCATCTCTGGCCAAAACAACAACAAAAAGTAATGGCAGCGGCTAGTGGATTTTTGGTCACGCCCCGATCTTACAGGCCAGTCTGCCACCACGAATGGAGTCTCCGCTTTGGGCATACCACATGGTTGTGGTCGCGGGTAAAACCAAATGCCTGCTCGATGCGGGAGCCCGCCGTTGGAAGTAGCGCTATGGTGCCTGTAGCGCGTCTCCGACTGTTGTGTTTAGTGTCCTATTTCACCAATAACATTAAAGGTGGTCCTGAAATGGCAACGAATGAAGGAAGCCGGAGGGTTATGCTGTCGGATGTCGCGATCCTGGCGGTGGGTCACAGAAATTCTGTCGAAAATCAGGAGCGAACGCGAGTGTCGCTGTCGTGGCAGCGTCCCAACTTCCAGGTGCCAAAACTTCCGTGGACTGCCACACTATAGAGCGACCTGCAGAAAAACAGGCGTCTGCCACATGCACTGTGGAAAAGACGTCCGAGCTCCACGGTGTTCTGGCTCGAACTGTTCGTTTTTATTCTCGCGCCTCAGGAAGCTCGCGCAGCGAGCTTAGAAAAAGAAGAAAAATTATTTCATCTCTCGGAGCTGACTCCTATAGGGCTCCCCCCTGGCAGCATGGAGCACGGAAATACAAATAAAATTGTAGTTGATCCAATGGTGGAAGGGTTTTGGGAGTTATGTGGCCCATGAAACAGTTCTTGGTTTCTTGGTTTCCTGGGGTGTTACAAGTTGCTCCGAGTATGAAAGATGAGAATTTGAGTCCTGAAATGCGGGTTTGATTCGGTCCATGGCGACGATTTCTCGATGTCCGTGAATGTCAAGAGTCATGGTCTTGTCGGTGCGCTCGAGTATCTTAAAGGGTCCCTCGTAAGGTGGCGTGAGACTTTTCTTCTTGACTTCCTTTCGGACGAATGCGTGGGTGGCAGTTTTCAATTCTTGACTTACGAAGATCTTCTGAGAATGGGGCATCCGAGGTTGTGTGGGCTTAAGTTCTTGCATGAAGTGCCTCAAGTCGTCTAGGTACACTTGGTGTGGAATTGTTGGAGTGCACTTGGTGATATCGAAAAATTCTCCAGGGAGTCGGAGCGGCGATCCATAAACCAATTCAGCCGAGGTGCATTCCAGGTCTTCTTTGAAGGCGGATCGAATGCCGAGAAGGACGTATGGGAGATGGTCAACCCAGTTGAGACGTCCATCTCGTGCTGTGATTGCGGTCTTGAGCTGTCGGTGTAACCTCTCCACCATGCCATTGGCTGACGGGTGGTATGAGGTAGTGTGCACGTGGTGCGTGCCGAGGAGCTGGGCTAAAGCAGCCAACAGCGAGCATTCGAATTGCCGTCCCCAGTCCGTAGTGACGGTGGATGGACATCCGAAGCGGGATATCCAGATGTCGATAAAGTTCTTGGCGACTGTCTCGGCAGTGATGTCGACCAGGGGAGTGGCTTCGGGCCACCTGGTGTAGCGGTCGACGCAAGTCAAGATGTACGTGAAGCCTCGGCATGACGGCAGGGGGCCCACAAGATCGAGGTGAACATGGTCGAACCGTGCCGAGGGGGCACGGAATGGTCTCAAAGGTGTGACAGTGTGTCGGCTCACCTTAGAGCGCTGACATTGAAGGCAGCTTCTGGCCCAACCTCGTACATCCACGTTCATTGTAGGCCACACATAGCGAGTGTAGCGCGTTCGATCTTGAGGACAGAGTAGATGGTGCGACCGACTCCGAGCTTAGGTGAAAACGTTCTGTTTAATCCCCGTGCCGTTGGGCTCGCGCCAAGGAGTTGATTCGTTGTCTTTCTTGGTGGCGACGCTGGACGTATTGACTGCTACAGATAGCTCCCCCCTTAGAGACGTCGCCTGTAGGACTGCAGCAGGCTGCAGGGGACGGAGCGATTCCGTGAGCAGCAGGCGATGAAGTTCCAGGAGTGGCGCTGTTGCTGTTGGCGTGCTGCGAGCAGAATGACGCGGCAGAAAGCGGTGGACATTGAAGGCAGCGTGCGGGGACCGGGCAGGTTCTGGTTAAGGTTGAGGTCAGGCGAAATGGAGACAGCGGGAACAACGATCCGGTAGTGCTCTGGCTCCGAAGTTTAGCGGGCTCTATCTTCACTCGGGCTGCAGGGGAGATGGCGGCCAGCTGCGCGACCGATGCAGTGTTATTCCCGGAGATGACGCACCGAGTGGAGAGCAGATGCCTGACCTAGTAGTGATGAAGAGCTCTTGGACGGTCAGCGACGTACCTTATGAACAGACTGGTGCGCCTTGACTTGCCATGCCCCAACGTGGCGCGGTGCGGCACGCCCCACATGTTGTGGCAGCACGAGACCGTGCCAGGCCAGCACCACACCACACAGATGGGCATGACTGCCGGGGCGACACCAGGAGCTGCGGCAGTGGTGAAAATGCCAACGAACGTAGACTTGCCGTGCCGGCGGGGTGAGCGAGGTGGTCGCAGCCCGTTGCCGAGAGATGCCGGCGGCAGACGCGACGGGACAGAGGCGGTGGTGGAGGCTTCGGATGCGGCGGCTGTGGGTAGATGTGCCTCCCGCATAAACATCTGAAACGCCATGTCTTTGCCATGCCCCGGGCCGCGGAGAACGTTCCCCTGGATGGCAGGTGCTCGGAGTCGATCATCACGTCCGGGTCACCATTTTTGTAGCGCGTTCGATCTTGAGGACGGAATAGATGGTGCGACCGACTCCGAGCTCAGGTGAAAACGTTCTGTTTAATCCCCGTGCCGTTGGGCTCGCGCCAAGGAGTTGATTCGTTGTCTTTCTTGGTGGCGACGCTGGACGTATTGACTGCTACAGCGAGCTGTCACCAGTCGCTGCGTGGCTCGGATGCCCGGGTGGCTGATGTTGTGCATGTGGTCGAAGACCTGCCGACGAAGTGTCAATGGGACGAAAGGTCGAGGATGTCCCATGCTCATGTCGCAGAGGATGGTACCGGTGGAGTGAGGGAGGGGAATCCGCCTCAACACCAAAGACTTCAGCGTCTCAGGGTGGTTGTTCAATTCAGGGTCGTCTCGTTGCGCGGCAGCGATGCGTTCGAAGTCTACTCCTCCAGAGACTGCTGAAAGTGCTTCGACGCGGGAAAGAGCGTCCGCTGCTGAGTTGTCTTCTCCTTTGATGTGGCGGAGATCTACCGTGAACTCTGAGATGTAGGCGAGTTGTCGGATTTCTCGGGAGCAGTAGGCTGTGTGATTTCCATGAAACGCGTAAGTCAAGGGCTTATGGTCCGTTAGGACGTGGAACTCATGACCTTCCAGGATGTGTTGAAGTGCCGAAGGGCAAGGTAGATGGCAAGGAGTTCTCGTCCAAACGTACTATATCGTGTTTCTGCAGGTTTCAGTTTCTGAGAAAAGAAACCTAGTGTCCTCCACTGGCCGTCAAGAAGCTGCTGTAGTACAGCACCTACAGCTGTACTGGACGCGTCGGTCATGAGACGGGTAGCAGCCTCCGTCTGTGGATGGACCAGCAGGGTTGCGTTGACCAAGGCTTCCTTCACGGCGGAAAAAGCTGATGCAACCTCATCGGTCCATTTAAGTGACGATGATGGCGCTTTTTTGGTCTTCAGCAGGTCCGTCATAGGCTGTAGAATTTCGGCACAGTGGGGAATAAATCTACGGTGGAAATTTACTAGCCCGAGAAATTCGCAAAGCTTTCGAAGCGAGGTAGGTTGAGGGAACTCGCGTATTGCCCGGACTTTTTCTTGGAGTGGTAGGATGCCCGACGATGTTATGCGGTGGCCGAGAAAGTCCAGCGCGTCGGCACCGAAAACGCACTTCTTCGCGTTGATGACGAGGCCATACTCCTGCAGTCGGTCGAACAAAAGTCGCAGATGTTGCTCGTGTTCTTCCGGAGAGGAGCTGGCCACGAGAATATCATCAACATAAGCGAAGATGAAGTGAAGGCCTCTGGTGACTTCTTTTATAAGGCGTTGGAAAGTTTGCGCAGAGTTTCGGAGGCCGAAGGGCATCCGGACGTACTCAAAAAGTCCGAACGGAGTTGTGATGGCGGTTTTGGGCACATCCGCTAGCTCGACTGGAATCTGGTGGTAGGCCTTAATAAGGTCTACCTTGCTGTAGATGTTGGTGCCCGCTAGGCCAGCGGAGAAATCGTGAATGTGTGGCAAGGGGTACCGGTCAGGTACCGTGCACGCATTCAAGGCGCGATAATCTCCGCATGGCCTCCAGTCGTTTGGATCCTTCTTAGGGACCATGTGAAGGGACGACGCCCAATTGCTGGAGGAGGGGCGGATGATGCCAAGCTCCAGCATATGTTCGAATTCTCTGCGTGCGATGTTAAGTCGCTCGCCGAAGAGTCGACGAGGTCTCGCAGAGACTGGAGGGCCGTTGGTAATGATGTGGTGGGTCACGGCGTGCTTGGCGGGTACCTCCGTGTTGCACGGTCGGGTTATGGCAGGGTATTCTGCGAGGATGGCTTCATATCTTGAAGACGCCGCCAAAGGGCGCATCGGAGAAGCTTGAAATGACGAAAGAATACCTTGAATGGTGCACGACGTCGTAGCATCCGTGAGGCTTCTGCCACGCATGTTAACGGCCAGGCCAAAGTTCGCCAAGAAGTCCGCTCCCAGTATGGCCTCGCGAAGGTCTGCAACAATGAAGACCCAGCGGAAGAGTCGTCGCAGTCCAATGTCGATGGTGAGGGATCTCTGGCCATAGGTGGCGATGGCAGGGCTGTTGACTGCTCGTAGGGGTCTGGTGTGCTGCGTCTGCTGACGGTCTAGT